GCCGCATGTACACCCAGCTGCATGTACACCGTACACCGCGCCGCATGTACACCCGGCTGCATGTACACCCAGCTGCGTGTACACCCAGCCGCATGTACACCGTACACCGCGCCGCATGTACACCCAGCTGCTGCATGTACACCGTACACCGCGCCGCATGTACACCCAGCCGCATGTACACCGCGCTGCATGTACACCCAGCTGCGCGTACTTAGAAAATTATTCTCCACTCTGACTTTAATTCAACACTCAAATTCATGATTCGGATTCAAGTATTGAATTCTTGATATGAAAGCCCGTGTTCGCGTGGATGAGACTCGTGCTGACTGCGCGCACTCGCGGTTTTCACGTCTTTAGAATCAATCTTGAAGGTGCGTGCTTGATTAAGGCCAAGTAAGCGAGATCTTGAAACCTCAATTTCTTGATTCGCTACACAGACTCGGATTCAGATTCACATTCTGCATAATTCAGAATTTGCGATTGACTCGCACTTGACTTCAAGCTTGACTCAAGACTCGACTTCCACGACCATGATCAATGATTCACAATTTGCTCGCTACGCTACGCCCGTAGACGATGCGACTGCGAGAGTGGATCAAGATGCTGCAGATTCCGACGCTGGCAACGTGACCAACGATTCCTGGCTCGTCATTACCTGTCAAACGAGCCAGATCGGGTCAGACTCTTGCGTTGCACGCATACGCGGATGTAAAATGACAGACGACGCGCAAAAGAACATGACCTCCAAGGAAGAACGCAAGCATGTTGGATTTAGGATTACAAGCGCAAGAAGAGGTTTCCGTCCATCGTTACATTCGTGATTGAGCGGCGTGACATTCAAGAAGACGCCTAGCCAAAGCGGATCTTGCGACGGCATCAGGGTAGCTGAAGCGGCGTTGGCTGCCAGATTCCCGAGAGCGAAGTTGCTCAAGCTTGCTGTGGACACCAGTAGGAGGTGTGCTGGATAGCTGGTTGAGGATGATAGCATCCAGTCGCGAGCAAGAAGGATGCCTAGAGTGCACTTCAGTGGAAAGGCACTCCCCCCACTGTCCAGCCGCAACGGAGTGGGTGTGCACCCTCAAGCTTGCCACAATCGATGCCAGGGTCTGGTTTCTTGCCGGTCCGCGTGTACTGACCCATATGCTGCAGCGAAGGAGGACCCACATGCTGCAGTTGTGTAGCATCTGCAGCGTATGAGCCTTTCTTTGCTCCAGCGTGGTCATTGGCAGGCGCTGTGCGGCCCGTCTGTCCGCTTCTTTGATCCTTGGCCTTCGGATCGGGGACAGTGGCGGGCTGCTTCGTATCTGGAACACCCGGCACTGTGATGATCTGGGGCCTACGGCGAGATAAGGCTGGCATGAAGGAAAGTCTCACAACCACCCATGCCGGGTCGTCCAGCACCCGACTCTGACCATGCGAGGCGGACCATAGCATCCGTTTCTGTTCGCTGCGGAGCATCTGGATTCGCAGAGACAGCATTTGTTCTGTCGGCACGAAGGGTTGCGATTCAAAAGTCAGCATTCATCCTTGTGCTGCACACCGCTCGCGATACTCACGCCAAGACGCTCGTGATTTTGCCCCAGCAGGCAGCAGTTCAGCCGCCGTGCTTGCCAAAGTGCAAGGAATAGGGCTGCTTTGCGCGAGGGGCACGGCGAAAGTCATAAGCGCCAAAAGTAGGCCGAATACGACTCGCAGCATGGCGGGCAGGTCAGGCCAAAGTGAGCTGAAAGACGACCTTGGAAAGACGCAGTGGAGGGATGCGATGTGAGAGCGAGAGCAATGGGAAGAATCGAAAGCTGTACGAGGACTAGCGAGATCATATCAGCGAGGGGGGAAAAGGTCAGCTTTATCTGTATGGGTCGACCACAAGAAACAATGGAAAAGACCTGCGCCTCTCATGACCTTCCGTTGCGAGGCGTTGAGACATTGACGGACAATCATATGGAGCGAACGTGGCGCCAGCATCTGATGTATCACTACTACTGGGCACTATTCCGCCCAAGCTGATTGAAGTTGCTCGATTGTGCAAGCTTCGGACACCTTCACGGTGACCCTCAAGAAAAGACGGCGTGACTCTGCCAACGTTGAGCTGATGACACTCAATCTTTTTGTGTCTTTGACGCGCCACATGCTGTGACCGGCGGAAATAATCTGTCGAAAGCATTCAAAATTCGTAATTGCCGCAATTGCGACACTCGATACTGTTGACCGGCAAGCACTCGGACTCGTAATGCGCTCGGGGACACCGAAATGTCCTCCTTCAGTCGCTGTATGGAGGGGACATGATAAAGCAAGAAGACGCGTTGGCGGTTAGATTGAGCGGCGGCGTACTGGAGCGAGCTCATGATCAATCTAGCGACGACTCGATCCATCAATAAAGGACGTGTCGCTGCGCCAAACGATGACGAACACGGTGACGAAGTACACCGCTGGCTGCACAAACCGGCGCGCAAGGTCCTCTTTCGAGAAATCAAGCAGCGGTCTGCTCGTCATGGATCGTGAAGAAATCGAGAAACACAATCACAGACTTGCTCTGCATTCTTATTATGGCTTGTCGAGAGCAAAGTGGGGTCGCTCTGGGATTTGATTTGATATTTCCATGGAGCTCCGCTTGGCGTTTCCATGTCCGTCCAGCCACTCTTCGTGACTTGCTGGAGGAGGCGGTACGCACGATCACAGAGATCGCTACCCCTTCGATCGCAGACTTCCTGGCGCGTGTGTCTAAATCTCTCTCCGTTGCTGACCCCGCCGGCACGAGGTCGATCGGCGTCTAACATCTGACGCCAGAGGCGCCCGCGTGTCCTACCAAACTTTGCCGAAGGCGCGCCGCTTTCTGCCGATGCTTACCACATCGACCGACAACATAAACAGGACGCCTCCAGACAAAGGCTACAAGACCCTCGAAAGGGCATTTGACGACGGGCGCCGGTGACTGCGTTGCGCCGAGTCGAAGCAATACAATCACTATCGTGTGGGGTGCCAAAGGCGATTCGCACTGTGGTTGGCTTCTGAAGGACTGCACACGCACACGCACCCCAACAGACTCCTTACGGCGCGCCTGCTTTCAACGCGCGATCTCGGGCTCGCGTCAACTCAGACGCAACGCCTGGAGCGAATGCATGCGATTGCGAAACAAAGACTAGACTCGTGACATTGGAAAGGACAGCGCAATCTGGGAGCGTCCATGGCTGAAAATAGAGGCGTGCTATGATGCATAAGCACACGCGCTCAGACAAAGACAAGGTTGCCGTTCTGGGAGGTAAAGTCTAGATTGAGGTTCTTGTTGGCGTCCAGCTTCCAGCCCGCAACATTCTCGCTAGGGTTGTCCTTCTTCGCTTTGCCCAAAAAGTTGACCTTGCCAGACTTGGAGTCGTATTTGAAGAAGCTCGCCGTCTGAACTCCTGAATCGGCATTCGTGCATCCGCCGTACATGTCGAACATCAACCCGTTTCCAGGACCGCTCTGGCCGTTCTGCTGAACGTAGCAGTAGTCGTGAGAGGCAATCTTAAAGTGACCGTAGTATACGCCAGTGTTGGGGTTGGAGACGTATCCCATGTAGTCCGAGTCGCATTCGTAGAACTGGAACGCGGTGTACGACTGCGTGCCGTTCTGCACCGGTGTAGGATTCACCGTAAGAGGCTTACCGTCAAGGCTGTGGGCGGATGGGATCGTGTCAGCCGGATCATTAACGAAGGTGTCAGAGGGCCAAAGGACTCACGCAAGAGCGCCATTCTTGCGCAGGCGGCATTCGGGGAAAGTAGCTGCAGGTGCCTTGTAATTGAAGCTTGCAATGATGGTGTCGGCGGTCGAGATGTAGGAGCCAGGCTGGTAGTCGAGCGCAACAGTCTCGCTGCCGTAAGGCGTGTCATCCGTGTCGATCCTGTAGTGATATCCAGCTTGACCAGTGGAGAATGACTTGGTGGCGTTCTGCGTGGGGCCTTTGGTGTCGCCCAAGAAGTCGACGAGCTTGTAGCTGAAGAAGGTATCCGCAAGGAATTGAAAGTGCTGCGAGTTGGCAATGTAGCCTGAAGTAAAGTCGCAGGGTTTGGAAACGAAGTGCGCGCCGAACTTCTTCTGGTCCGAAGCAGTGAGACAATTGCCCGGCGTCGTGGAGGACACGATGAAACCATCTTGCGCAGAGATGGCTCCCTTGCCAGGGCTTGGCGATGGAGTGTCCTTGCAGCTATACACTTCGAATTCTTGAGGTACCGTGTTGCCGGGCTGTAGGAGCTTAGCACCGCTTCCGTCGATGTTGCCGTACTCTCCAAGGTAGCGTTTGGGCGCGGCACTAGAGTAGATGGGAATGTCTGTGGGGTCGTAGCCGAGCACCGCCTTGCCGATGGACTTGCACGCTGATGGTGGCGCAAATCCTTTGGCAGGCGTTGCGGCGGGCGCCGCAAGGGTGGAGCCCGCTAGGGCGAGGACGATGAGGGATGCGGCGAACATGCTGATGTTGAGTAGTGGAGCTTAGAGATGGATGAGAGTTGCAGAGGAAGAGCAGGTCGCTGACTTGGAGTCGATGGAGCAGGAGGGGGAATGTGAGGAGCTAGTCACCCTCATCATCCCCCGACTCGCTGTTCTTATACTTTTGGGTGCGAGTCTACTTGCCATGCTGACTATGCCATGCTCATGGGGTCCGGCGTGTGCAGCCGCTCCCTTCACAACATCGTTGATCGTGGTGATGCGCACGCACGAAAGTCGGGGGCAAAGCACAAGACGTCCGCTTGACCAAGCGGGTCGTCGTCACATCTCCGATGCAAGCGCACGCATAAGGCGCCCGGCGGCACACGGTCGTGGGTCGCGTTTAATTGGGGTCGGGTTCCTGCATGCATGAGCCGAACAGGGCGATCTTTGCTTTGGCTTAGCGCAAGAAAGCTCTGCTGGTGCTTGCGTGACTCTTGCGAGGCTGCATGGTGATCAAGCAAGCATCGATGGCCGATATCCGAATCGGATGGATGTTCCGACGTTGCCTGAGCAAGCGGGACAAAGTCATTGCGCGGAGGCAAAGCACATCGTCATCAGGGATAGCTTCTCGTCCCGGCGGCATGCCGGCGCAACCCCTGCTGGCCGCCGCGACCCCGCTAGATTTGAAATTCAGTCGTGCATCACAATTTGAATTAATTCGTTGCGGGTCAGCGCTGGCCGGACCATCGGGCGGCTCTCCGATCTCGCGGCAACTGCTGCTGATGGCCCATGCAGATACACATCGCCCGCCGAGCTTGCAAGGGTCATGCAGGGTTTGCCCGTTCGGGATCCAGACTTGCCGCTCGAGGAAGCGGCGCGGCGGTCGCGCATCTCCGGCAACGGACGATCGATCATGCGCCAGCGCGCATCTCCGCTTGTAATTCTTGATTTTTCCTTTCAGATGAAAAGAGGCAGCCAGCATGCAGCCGCTGTATATATGAAGTCATGAGTCAAAAGTCGTCAAGCAAATCCATGATTCGGAAATAGTCATTCAAATGTACGTCTTGTGGCTGTGAGTCCGCAATTTAGGTTCCCAAAGGACTGGCTGGGCTTGGGCACACGATGGGAACGTATACTATACAAACACAATTCTGATTGAATTGGAGCTGTCAGCTTCTCGCGCCCCTGCAGCATTGCCTCAACCGCAGTCAGTCGCATGGGTGTTCAATGGATGACCATCGCTTCAGGTGCGATAGCCCAGCTCGGACCGTGTGAGTGGCGACGGAGCGCAAGCTCGCGTGTCGCCACTTCTAGTCAGTGCATGTTGAACTGCTAAAATTACGACCTGTGACTGTGGAAGTGCGAGCCTCATCTTCTCAGTTGGCTCATTGTAGTGGCGCGTAAGGTCGCAAAGGGCCGAAGTGGTGGGTGGGTGCGATCATCAACAATCAGGATGCAGATAGGCCATCCTTTGCCACCACCATCTCATCGATAGCACAAAGATCGAACGCATTCGAGTCCATAGCAGTGCAATGAGTTCTCTCGAGCTGTCCACGTACGTGTAGGCGATAAAGTCAGTGGCGCTTTGGAAGCTCGCCAACGGTCCTAGCTTCGGGGCAAGGTACGGTTGAGTGCCGCCAGGTGCCGGCGGCGTGGAAATCTGAGAACAATGGGCGTGCAGTGGCGGAAAGCTTGTGGCGCAAATGAGGAAAGTGCTGGATGGCGAGGCTTCTTAGCGCCGCCCGCATCGTCAATGCAACCTCACAGGTCTGATTTGTCTGGCGCCACTTCTCTTCTAGAAGCACAGTGGCGCAAGCTTGCCGCCGCTGACCTACGGCAATAAGCCAAGATGGTTCTAAAGGATGACAAAGAGAGCGTGGACTGATATGTACGTTCTTGCAATCCTGACGACCTGCCAGTCTTCACATGTAAGCTCCATTCACCGCGTTGACTCCGACTTGCTCCGTTCGCCATTCGCGTGCCCAGACGCGGCCCAGCTCGCCCATCCTGTCCTTATCTTTCACCCACACAATTCGGAGAGGCATAAGCCTCTTGGGAAAGTATAAATATTCGCTCTCCGAAACGCTGCTTCTCTGTCCATCCCTATCTTTGGTGCTGGCACCTCTTTCCTACGCTGATCAACGCTGCCGTTCCGCGCGCACTCCGTCCTTCGTTTTGAAACAGCATAGCTGCTCACTCCTCTTGAAAGGCAGCCAGCTCGCGCCATGCGCATGTTCTTTACCCCACCCCTGATGGCGGTGCTTTGCACCTCCGTCCTTGGCCTCGAAGGGCACGAAGCTGTTGCTCGTGTGCAGCCCTCAATCGAAGATTCTGCCACGCTCTACCCACGAGGAGCAGAAGGGCTGGTCAAAGCAGTCCTCGAGAAGCCACGCAAGTCCTTTAGCGTGCTCATACCCGAATTCTCCGAGCAGGAGATGCAAAAAATCCACAAAGAGTCTTTGGCGCTGAACTACCCTCAACATCCCATGCCTGGAGTGAAACAGCGAAGGAGCGCTGGAAGCAAGTTAAATACACTGACCCAGACTCATAGGCGGCACCCTCAAGAAATCTTTGCTGACCAACGGGGCTGGACGACGGTGCGGGAGCTGAGCGATGGTCCTGTGGTGCAAGGCCCATCCAAGCGGCCTCGCATAGTGCTGCATCCACCGAAACTTCACTCCCCGCCGGCAGCTCGATCGACTGGCTCGAGTACTGAGAATCTGCTCCGCATGCTGGTCGAAGAAGAGCGCAACGGACCCCCTCAGCCGCTCACCCTGACGCGAGAGCAGATGCTACGAGCCTCTCTGCCCGTCTCGCCCGAGCGCTCAAGGTCCCCCATCCGCCAACGACGGCCTGCCTCTCCGATTGGCTCTCCAAGCAGCGTGGGCAGCGGCAGCAGCACCACGTCCCATAGCTACCCATGGGAGGATGAGCGCGAACCAACGCGTCGTGCTGCTTCCTTCCAGGCTCAGATGGCCAGCTATCGAGGCAAGGGCGAAGCGGGTACATCCACGCGCCCGACGGCCCCTCAGCTCACGCGCCAACGGAGCGAAGCTCGAGAGATTCCAAGCACCTCTGGCCCACGCCCTCTGCGTCTATTCAGCCAGTCCCCGCGCACCCGAGGTGAAGACACCGACTTCCTGGCGGAGGGTGTGGGGCATTCGCCTAGAAATGCGGGCAATCCGTTGCAGAGGGGACGTGGAAGACCGGGCGGAAGAGCCGGCAGCACGACCTCCTCTTCTAGCGGAAGCGGAACGGAGAGCGAGCGGGGAAGTAGGAGAAGCAGTCGCGAGGATCTGCAATTTGAGATGGACCTGGATGATAGATCGAATAGACGGCGTCCGGCTAGAGGCGGGCTGTAGGCAGATTTCCAAGTCGTTCGCTGTTCAATGTAGAAAGTCCGATGCTACTGCCAATCGAATGAGATTCGACGACGCTGTGTACAGTGTCTAGCGCGCCCGTGCAAACACCAGCTCTGAGTCGCACAGCGCAAGCCGAGTGAAGGGTAAGAAAGCTTCGACTTGGTGAATACCGCCTTTCTTGCCATACTTTTTGAAGCCTCTGTCGGCAAGAGCAGAAAGATCTAGTCATGGCTTCAGCAGTGGCTCAATCAAGCGAGTGTTTTTGCGGCAGAACGAGAGGGTTCAACGCGATGTGGACCTTGGTCACAGATCTCGGCGGAGCTTGATTCGCTCGCAAGGGTCGAGCGGAGGTCTTTCTCGAGAGTGCGTGCTTCGCCGCGTGTGATCGCTGGCAGGGTGCTGTGGGGAAGATTGGCGCACCCCTGGATAGAGCGTGGCGTGTTGGGACTTGGCACCTGAATCGATTGGCCAAACGTGAGTCTTCTAGATCGGGAGCGGAAACGGGATCGAGAAAGCTGCATGCCTCGGTCTGAGTGCTTCCGCTCGCGTCCGCCCTGCTGCTGCTGCTGCTGCTGTGCGAGCTGCAGCACCGTGCGGCACAATCGCGGGTCTCGTGCGCGTCGTCGTTCCCGCTCTCGCAAGCCACTCGGGGAACAATTGGCCGAGAGATCCGCGAGGGACAAAATCTGTCTGGTCTCCACCACCTCTATTTGCAAGCCACGACGAACGCGGGATCGAGGCTGGACCGTTATGAAAAACGACTCGAGTGATCACGGAAGTGGGTCTTGAAGATGAGGGCCGAATGGCCAGCTTGCTTGGTCGTAGTCGGCGCACGCAGCGGAGGACTCGATGCCGTATAAAGAGCCCAGCGAGGATGTAGCCGAATGAATAGCTCAGATCTCGATTCCAACCTCAATCTCGTCGACGCATCATGAAGCTCTATATCTCTACCCTCTTGAGCATCATCGTGACGCTGCTGTGCTTGGCACGCACGGGTGAAGCATCTCCCCTTGTCGTGCCTTCGCGCCAACAGCAGCGCAAGACGTGCGGCAACCTCATTCGAGGCAAGCCGCTGCTGGTCAAATTTTGTAGGGCGTACCTAGGCAATTACAGGCCTGCGGTATTGGCATCAACCACCACAGCCACCATCACTGCGACTTCGACCCCTCCACCCATCACCGTCACCGTAGCCACAACCACCTCGACCGTAACATCCACGATGTGAGTGGATGAAGACGATGCACTTTGTTCGTATTTCTGCGCATGCTGATGCGGGCTTTTTTTTTTT